GGCGCGGGCGGGGCGGCGCGGCTGTACCGCGCGGGCGAGGACGCCGTGTGGGTGCTGGACAGCGGCAGCGTGCGCGGGGCCACGGCCAACAGCTCGGCCGCGTGGCTCGTGCAGTTCTATTCCTCGTGGTGCGGCCACTGCATCGGCTACGCGCCCACCTGGCGGGCCCTGGCCGGGGATGTGCGAGGTGAGGCGCGCCCCCGCGCGGGACTCCGACCCCGGCCGGCGGGGCCTGACCCTGCGGCCCGCGGGACTCGCCCTCCTGCTCGCTGCGCCTCCCGGGCCCTTTTCCCCCTGCCCTACAGAGCCACCCCGCTTCGGCCACCGCTGGCCTGCGCTCCGGATGTCCCCCGTGTGAACCCCGTGAGATCCTGGGAATGTGTCTCAAGTCGGAATGACAAGAACTCTTCTTCCCCGGCCCTCACTCCACAGTGGGGGACAGGGGAACCCTCCCAGGATTGCCCAGCTTTCCAGACACCTAGTTTCCAGCCCCCAAGAGCTTTATTAACCCCCTGGGGACTTTATCCTAGCTGTTTCCTGTGCACAGCCCATCCTGAGTATTCCGTTTCAGTGCCGGGAGTCCCCATTCTTTGAGGATCCCCATTCCTATCCCAAGCCCCTTTCCCTTTAAGTCCTTCTTTTTCATCCTCTTGTGTTGTGCATGGTTGACCATATGGTGGGTACTCCAAGTGAGCCCCTAACTTAGACTTGCAAACACTCTGCGGACTTCTCTATAGAAGCAAAAAACGACCTTCAGAGCATTTCGCTGGGAGGTTCCTCGTTCGTAGATGCGCAGCCTTTGATAAATGTGTCATCCACCACACCACTGGGCGTGTTCCCACGCTTCGTTGTTGTTTGGCACTTCAGTCATGCTGCAGACTGCTCATCAGTCACCAAGTTATGCACCTGCTCTAAAGGCAGAGTTGGAGCGGAAGGGAGCATTTGCAGCATCCTTCCTGCAAGCTGGCCCTGCTTTAAAATGGAAGGTAAATTGTTCTGAAGTAGGAGCTGGTCCCCAGCAAGAGCAGGGTTTGGCAGGACTCCTGCCGATGTTGAGCAAACCTCTAATTGTATGTTTCAGTGGGCAGGAGGGTAACAAATTGCTGAGCTTTCTTCCTGCACCTTTGTCTTTAAGTCTTATATCCAACCCTGTTATAGTTGTCTCATATCTAAACAGGTTCAGAAAGACACTTTTTAAAAGTCCAAATAGAGTTTGGTGGGTAGTTATAAATGATTGTCTTTCAGATGCCTTCTTGTCTTACCTCGAGGTGTTGGGCCTTTTGATTCTAAAGGGTTTGTTCTTTGATCTAATGTTTCCTTAAGTCCCTAGTGTTCGGCCCTGGTCAGAACTGAGATCAGAGACTAAGAAGTAGACAGACCACGGCTTAGTAGGTTTTTTTTTTAAGCCTTTGCTTTGAGAACAAACAACCACTTTAATAATACAGAGAACGTTTCGGTTCTCGTTTGTTACTTGGTGGCAGAAACACAGATATGTAAATTAAAATGCAAGTAGCTCTGGCAAGACATTTGTCACCTATTTTGTGCATATTTTGATTCTTTCCAGTTTAGTATCTGAAATATAAAAATCACAAACCAGATTCAAATATTGCAAACTATTCCGTAGTTGAGCCAGCCTTGGCAGTTGTCCCTGGAACTTGGAAGGAGGTTATTTCTGAAAGGGAAGATAGTGAAATCCATTCCTAATGGTGTAATTAACTTAACTATTAGCTAAATAAGGCTATCTTAAAAGGGTTGGATGTTGTCCAAGTCAAGGCAGGAAGAACAGGCCTGAGATGAGGGAGATATGGCTGAAAGTGAAAGACAGGTGAGGCCCGAAAGACAGGGGGGCCAGGAGCAGGGGACAGGGGAGGAGGGGCTGCCCGTGCCCAGGCAGAGGGCCCCCAGAGCCAAATTGCCAGCAGCACTGCCCGAGCGCCAGCTCCGCCTGGAGGCAGAGCCCTTGGCACTGGGGAGTGTCCCACTCGGGGTCCCCAAAGTGAGGTCACCTGAGGACTTGTTAGAAATATGTGTCATCGGCCCCAACCCAGCCTGGTGGGTCAGAAACTGGGCGTGAGGCTCAGCATCCTGTCAGCACAAGCCCCGAAGTTGGAGGATCACTGTTCAGGGACAGTAAGCCCACAAGACACCTGCAAGAAAGGGAAGTGTGGCGTGTGACCCCCTCGTGGTTGTCCACCACACGCGGGGGCTCCTCACTTAACCATTTGCCTCCCACGTGTTGACCACAGCACCCTTCTATGCCTCATTTCAGTGAACTCCCCGTAGAATGTGTTGGGAAGAACCACCCTCACCCTCACCCTGGATGTCGGCGGCAGTCCACTCTGCTCAGCGCCGTGCTCCCCACCGTGGGCCGTCCCACAGGGGAGCGGGTGCCCATTGCCCACATGGTCTAGTCTCGGTGCACTCAAAACTCCCATTGGCACCACTCTGGTCCCAGTCGGTCGCCTGTGAATTGGGCTGTCCACTGAGTCACCCGGGGCACGCAGACCTTGGACTAGGACCCCTCAGGTGCCTCTCCCTACCCCTCTCGAAATGGAGAGCGTCCCGCCAGCTTTCCCCGTCTGCCGCCCCCTCCCAGTCTCTACACCAGTGTGGCTTCTGGAAGGTGGGTGGTTATGGTATAGGCTCTGCTCCCTCACTTGAGACTGCCTCAGGGTGAGGGGAACACTGAGCTAGCTGAGCATCTGCTTCGTTGCTGTTCCCCCACCATTGCCTCCTAACTGGTCTCTTCCATTTGCTCAGAATGAGCAGAAAGCCGGAGGGGGTGGTCTACAGACGGTGGGGCTCCACGTCCGCAGCTTGGCAAGGCCTCTCTGTTCATGGCTTAGGGAGACCTTCGTTTCCTAAAAGATTTGGATGGAACTCTAGCTCTTCACTGACATTTTCAAGATTTTGAAAATAAGTGTTTTTCCTCATAGGAAGGTGGCTTAACAAACAAAAGGTCTACTGTTGGGTATAGCCAGATGTCATTCCAGTGCTTATGTAGACCTGGTTTAGGCCTGTCACTTCTGAGTCCTTCACAAAACAAAGCCTGCTGTGTTCCTGGACTCTTGGCCTGGAGCTGCGGTGTCAGCTTGGTTTGTGGTGCCACCTCCTTCTGGGTGGGAGTTGAGGCGCCTCTGGCCCCGGGCAGTGCTCCACCACTGAGATGTCTCTGCCGGAACTTTCCTCAACGCTGTCCCTGTCAGCATTGCCAGGTCCTTGGTATCTGTCCTCTCTCGGCTCTCATTCGCTCCGTCTCGGGGAAGCAGAGCGCCAGGGGAAGCAGGAGCAGATGTTGTGTAATTGGCCTCAGAATTCTAGATGAGAGATGTGAAGGGGAACTCGAGACTTGGTGGCAGTCACACACAACACGCGTCTTCTCTCCCCCGCCCTGCAGTCCTGCAGTCCTGCAAGGGGGGGGGGTTGGTGCACTCAGGTCACAGATGGTGACACCTGAGGCCGAGTCAGACTGAGTCATCCACTTACGGTCACACAGCAGAGTGACAGGCTGGGTGACTCCGGAACCCCGACGGCTCACCCCCTGTGTCTGCCAAAGACTGTCGGGGGCCCAGCTTATGGGCAAAGATGGCCGCTTAGTTCTTCCGCTGCACGGTGTCGGCAGTCTTGCCTTTCACTGAGCTCTTCATTCACCACCTGGTCGGTCTCCTGTCTACTTGGCCGGGTCACAGGTTTCTTGGAGATGAACTAGACCACTTGGTGTTCCCTACGGGAAGAAGGAAGAGGGGACTGAGGGGGGAGGCTGCTGATGGCAACGGAAGTGATGGCTGAGCAGGCCTGCAGGGGTGTGGCGAAGCAGAGAGCCCCAGGAGGGCTGCTTGGGGCTCACCTGGGCTCTGGAGGGGTCTCGGAGAGGGCGGAAAGGGAAGCTGAGAGGCAGGCAGCGTGGCATCCTCCCGCTATGGGCCAGAAAAGCCTGTCGTGCCTCCTCCCGGGTAGCTGTGGTTGGCCCACTGAGACACACCTGTGAGACCCAGGCTTCATTAGGACCGCGTCCAGAGGAGCACCACTGCACATGGAGCTCGGTGACACTGAGGGGAGGAACGCAGGTCGTAAATGCTGCCGGCCCCGCCTTGGCTCTGAAGATGAGTTGGGGGACTTAGGTTCTCGAAAGGTTTTCCTTTCTCATGCCACACTGCTGTGATGCTTCGGTATTGAACCAGTGAGAGATGATGAGCATCCCGGGAGTTGCCGTTTACCCTTAGCGCTCTAGAATGCCTGCCAGCCTATGTACAGTGTTACTTTGACCACACGGGGCCGAAGACCGAGGATGAAAGGACCACTGAGACCCCATCCCCGCCCTCGACTCCAAGGTGTAGCTGAGATAGAGCACCTGGACTCTCAAGCCAACTCCGGGTGACTGGATAACTGGTGGCAGCAGCCTCCACTTGTTAGTATGTGGGCTGAATTTCTACCCAGGCCTATATATCCCAAGCTTGTGGCTTGAACTTGGAGCTTATCTAAAAAGACCTCTGCTCAGCCAGGAAGGGGCCTACACCAGAGGAGAGAATGTGGGATTGGAAACTCCAACGTGGCCCTGACTTCTCACAAGGGTGAGGAAGCCACGATGGAGCTCTCTGCCTTACAAACCACACTCCAGCTGCATTCTTTAAAACCTAGGAGATTAATTAATCTGTACTGTGATCATTTTCTAGAACTAATTGATGCTTGACCATAAATCAGACTTTTATAGACTTTTTTATTAGAACTTGACAAGTAATGGTATAAGGTTTAATCTTGTTAGGTTAAGTAATATAGTTACTTAAGTAAACTTGAAATAATTTTTATTCTACTGCATATAAAAGCTTAATTATTTCACAAGTATTTTTTAAGCCTGTGGTACTAAAAATAGGCAGGCTCGTGAGCGTGTGGCTTGCCTTCTTCCTGTGGGTGCCCCTGGCAGGTGGGCCTCACGTGCCTCCCAGCTGGTGCTCTTTCCCCGGGTGTGGTTGGGAGTGGCCTGATGTCCGGAGGCAGGCTGTCTGCATTCGGTTTTGAGCGTTTCTCTCCTTTGTCTGGTGGGATCCAGACAGGTGGGCAAGGCAGGCGGAGGGGAGGGGACAAGTTGAATGAGGCGATACCCTGAAGCTAAACCTTTGAAACGGTCTGCATTTTATTTGATAAAATAGACTGTCTCTCTATTGTGTGGCTGTGAATGCTGTCCATCTG